CAATTTTTAATTTTGAATTTATTACATTCTTATTAATTTTAAATAGTGATTTATGATTATTAAATATAGCATAATAGATTATTGATAATCAATCATTAATTATTGATTTTCAAAAAAAAATCCATTGTTGACTTATTGATTATTAGTTATCGATTATTGATTGATTGAATATTGATTATTAATTATTAATTATTGACTATTGATTATTGAATATTAATTATTGATTATTGATTATCAATTGATTTTATTGATTTTTTTTAATGTAGTATACAAATAGTAAACATAATTTTGATAATGATTCCTTGAATTAAATAATAATTGTAATTTTAAATTTACCTAAACAAATTCAAGTATTAATTTAGATTTTATTGCAAAAGTCAATGATTTAGTTAATGTTTAATGAGTAATTATCTCAAGTTTTAGGTAAATTTAGAAAATATCTTGAATAAATTTATAATTTTATAGAATTATTAGTTAAAGAAAATTGAACTTCCACATTTTTTTATTTTTAATTTAAATCTAAAAGCTAATTTAAGAATATCCAAGATTACTGTTCAAACGTATTGGGGATTGAAAATTTTTTTTTTCCTTTTCGTGATATTTAATACTTTTTAGTCAAATCTAATGAATTGTTGCGATTTTTGCTATTCATTTTTCTTGAATTGAATAATGTTTTTTTTTGTCTTTTGGTGTCAGTTTTTTTTTACGGTAGCGCCGGGAGTCGCTACATTGGCGAGGGAGGTGTTGTACACCCCTGATATTATAAGTTGCTAACCACTGTCATAATATTAGATTTCTAACAAGTCCAGACTGAAATCTTAGAACCTCTGAGCTTTAGCTGATATTAACGGTTCATATTAACTTTTCTCAGACTACTGCGTAGTAGCTGACATTAACATTCTCTCACGAAATCATAAATCTACGTCGACAAATCTCAGGAAGATCTTATTATCGACATTCCGCCTAGTTAACAATTCTCACCAAGTTCGCATGAATAACATTTTGTTTAATCAGCTAAATTCATTACTTTATCCTTTTCGTTGTATAGAACATTCGAGACAAATCCCCACTACGTTTCAAAGGATTTTAGTTTTAATAATTATGAAATAAATCAGTCTTAATCTGTCGGTCGCCGGGCAAACACTTCTCTTCCAATACCTCCGAGTTCCTTGTACTTAAAGTGAAATAAAGTGAAGTTTTTGAAATAGTCTTTTCATTTATCAATTTCAAGTATTTTCAGCAAGTGAGTTTTCAGGAAAGTCGGAAGGTCCAGAGCAACAACACCGATTTGCATATAGTGGCGCCAACACCCCTTTTCTGTTCATCAACGCGGTGTCCAACAATATATATATATATATATATATATATATATATAATCATTAATTTGTATGAGGGCTTTTTCATGGCTCTATGACAAATGCCTTGACCTTATAACCGACATTGTATCATGTATAATATTTACTCTGTAGAGATTGATAGTTAGAGATATAATTTTAGATTATATTTTATAAAATATTTTCAAAAATTAAATTAACTATTTTGCCGACTTCTCAGTATCAAAATAAAAATATATCATCAGTATTAGAAAAACTCTTATAAATATCAAATATGGAGTTGCCTTCTAAAATAAAATTTAGTAAAAAAAATAAAAATAAAATGCCTGATATTTTCCCAAGCAATGATCATCTTATAACCACATATAACAAATTTGTAGAGTTGTTTGAATTGGAATGCGGGCTTCTAGAATACCTAATTCAGTGATGAACAGATAAAATATAAAACTACTTATTATTTATCATATGATATTGGCAATTTTCCAATACCTGTCAATACATACCCCAATTCAATTATATATCGGCATGTTTAAATTGAATTATGATATTTTATAATTAATTAATGAGGACAGATTCAAATATTTGTTAGCTATTTCGATTTGTTCCATAAATAATCGCAAACCATTTTTGAAAAATTGCACTAATATAGTGGAATATTATCTATTACATTGAAATTATAAAAATATAAAATGTAAATAATTCAGTATATGTAAATAGATATTTAGAAAAAAACTGAATAATTATTAATAATGAATTATGCTAATGAAAATCGAAGACTATCTAGTATGCTTCACCAATTTTTCCACATCAGAGAACGATTTCTAGATGATTGTTTTGTAAAAAAACAGTTGTTTTAACAGGATATTCTGAATTGTGTACTTGAATTATTGTTTTAATAATTTTGAATTAAATGCAACAGTGAATGAATGAAAAATCCTATTCAAAATTTGCTTTCAGTGACTTTAGGGTTGCTGTGGGAAAATATTTCAAGCTAAAAATTAAGATAAAAGCTGTTAATAAAATATAATACCAAAAACAAAATGTCATGAGCATAAAATTCTTAGAAAATAGATAATTGTTTTCATGGATGGTACATAGACTGTTTTATTCCTATAAAAATACACAACCTTCCAAAGCCTGTAAGTGATAAATAACGATACATTCTCCAAATATTTCTATTTATATTTTATCAGCAAAAAAATGTGCAGTATTTTCTGTTTTGTTAGATTTATAATTTCCGCTAGGGAATGGGGAATGAATAATGTAAAAAACACGAAAATTAAGGTGATTTTTTTATTAGAAGTTTCAAGACTATCTAATCATATTTCGGGGGGACAAACAAACAATCAAACAAACAGAACAGAAATAACTACCTAAAGCAGATTTATGAAGTAGATATAGTTGTATAAAATGTTTTGTTTATTATGCTTCAAAATATATATTAGATTAATACTTTTAATTTTGCTGTTTACCCTAATAATTAAACCGCTTCGCATTGATTGAATAATTCAGTTATTATTCTATAAAACATTTTTAAAATCAAAAACAAAATAGTGGATGTTTTTGACCACTTGCTGTACCTTTTCACTACGCGTATGGGATAAGAAAAACCAAGTGGCTAATAATTGAACTAGCTGTAAGTGAAATTCTGTCTTAAGGCAATTAAGGCATCGTGCCTTAAGGCAAATTGCTGGAACTTCCTGTATAAAAAATTATAATTTTTTTAAAAACGATTAACATTTTTGAAAATATTTTACTTCGAAAAAATTAGATTTTGGAGAAACTATAAATTTGACAAAAAATTACTTTTTTTGAAACAAAAATTTTTTATTTGAAAAGAAAAATGTTTTCTTCATTTTGACATATTTTTGGAAATCCTGAACTTTTTTTCAAAGCAATCGTACAGCTTGAACTGAAACCGATCAATTCTTCATCTTGTCAATACAAGTGAAATGTTTTTTGAATTATTCAAATCGGACGCTCTGTTATCTTAAAAACTGAGTTACCGTTTTTAGCACTTTTTGCCTCGTATCTTCGGAACGGCTAGACCTGCCTTTGCCAAAAACTAATCAGCATGTCTCCTCATCAATACGAATCGAATGCTTTTTAATTTATTCAAATCGGCTTATCCGTGCTCCCGAAATCGTCGAGGAAAATTTGTATCCGCACATACATACGCACATACATACACACACGCACACACACACACATACATCCATTTTTTTTAAGGTATGCCAAAAGGTTCAGAAACCTTTGAAACGTAAAGATATATACAAATTTTCATTTTCGTTTTCATTAACTTGCCCTACGGGAAGTTAAAAATAGCAAAAAAATATATTTCTAAATAGCAGAAAAAAGTTGATTAAAATAGGAGGCGAGTTATGTTTAAAATATGGATTTTCCACGGTCTGTAAGCAGCAACTATTAATGACATATTATTATATTCACTAATCGACACAAAGACAACCTGACCGCAATTGCTAAAACATTCACCATTTACATATTACCCATAACAATACGAGCATCAGACTTGTTTATTTTAATTGTGTCTCAACTACCCAGTAACACGAACTGTTTTATAAACTTTTGTCTTCTGTAGAATAAGTTTATGTTTACAGTGTTTTCCAGGTAACACGAAATACTTAGTCATTGGCATGCTTCTGCATTATATCAAGGTATGCGCCAGCGAACTCGCAAAGTTTCGTTTTCAAAGAGAGGCGAAAGTTCTGAAATAGCAGAAATTATTTTGCGCATTCCAGATAATCTGCCGCCGCTGTGAATTAGATCTCAATTATGAAATCCACGAGAACCTAATTTTATAATTGAGATTAAATTCAATCGAAAGCGAAGAAGCTTTTAAGTCTATTGAATATAAATGTGCATTCGAAAGACTGCGATTACAAATTGAGTGAAGTTAATTAATGACAATTTGATGTCACAATTATAAAAATTTAATAAGTCGATACTGAATGAAAATCTCAATCGAGAGTGAGTTGTACATATTATGTTAATTGAGAAAATAGTTTTGATAGAAATTTCAAAATGTTTTCAAAATTAATAATTTGAATGTTAGATAAGTAACTGAAAACAACACAAATATAAAAATGCAAGGATAGTGTAAAGCGGGGCTCAAAGGTCTGCCAGTAAAAAGTTTCGATTTTTTCAACATCAGCAGATAAACAGCCATGATTAATTTTTTTAAAAAATATTTTCTCTCGTTGTTAGCGTTTTTGGTTGAGAGCACTGTTTGCCTACAAGACCTTAAGAACGCATTATTTAATTATTTTATTAATTATATTATATACATTATTAATTTTATGATATATTTAACGATTATTATTATATATGACTTTTTTGATAGTTACATATAGGTGGTGTAAAAAGGATCATTATTTATCAAATGATCGTTTTTTTTGTATGTAGTGACAAACTACATACTACTTTGACATGCAGCTTCAAAACATACATAATAAAATTCTTTCAGTATTTTATTTTAAACTTCTTGGATGCTGAGATTACGTCGAATACAAATACTCAATAAATGTATGTATGCACATGTACACATATCAAAGAAGTAAAATTTTAAATAACAATTTTGATATGAATAATTCACTTATCCAGCTTACATTACATTAAAAATATATCCATGCATGTAGAGAAACTTACATAGCGCATGTGGAGAAATCCTATGATTAAAGTAGTTTCTCGCCTGAAACAAAACAATATAAAATATTAATTAAATGACAAATAAAATTACTAAAATGATAAATAAATTACAAATAAAAAAATGGTTAATTGAGTTTTAAAATAATTATTATTATATTATAAAAATGCAGAATGTGGATGTAAATGAGAAAAATATACAGGTTAATTATCCTTGCTGGTGTTTTTCCCACATAATCATTACATTGTTTCACTTATGCAGGACACAAATGATGGCACAGTTCCTGATTTTTAATTTTTTTCCACTTTTATTGAATAAATATATCTTTATATTAAATTTATCACTTGAAGCAACATTTGTATAGTATGAAACTATTTATTAGATTATACATAGATGAGTGTAAAAATCGCATTTAAAAATTTCAATACCGGTATTTCGGTAATTTTTCATTTTAAAACCGGAATACCGGTAAAATATCGGATTATCTTAAACAAATATAAACGTAAATGTATTTTTATTTAAAACAATATAATAGTCCTATATTAATTTCAAACTGCGATACGTTTTAAGTAAAATAATATTTTATAATTGTAATAAAAAGCAAAAATATTTAGTAATTATTATGATTAAAGTAAAAAAAATAATCTGTAATAATAAAGATTACGCAGTGATAATCTGTAATATTTTGGCGCAGATGATACTTTAAAAACCGTTACATCATTTACATAAGATGAAATAAACATCATTATCTATCAGTTCGATTCTATTTATTGTAACACGATATGAGGCACTTTGAAGAGCAATAAATATTTAGTTTAACGACTGGTTGAGATAATATTATGAAATTTGTTTATCCTATAGAATCGCTCAAGGATATAGCTGTCTATGCAATTATGGAATTTAAATATAAATTTGTTCCGAGAAATTCAAACTTGAGTGTAATATGTATCAAAAAGCGCTTGTGTAAAAATACCGAAAATACCGGTATTTTTAGGGTAAATACCGGTATTAATACCGCCAAAAAATCGGACAGTTTACCGGTGTTTCGGTATACTGGTACACCGGTATTGGATTCACTAGTACCAATGGTACCACCAATGGTACAATGAATGTAATGAAAACTCTGACGACCAAAAACAAATAGTTCTCTTCAATTATAATATTCATTTATTTAGTATACAAAGTTATTTATTAAACAATTAATTCTGCATTACAATAAATTTATTGCAGAACATTAATTTATTGCATTTCATATTCATAACTATACTAGAACGTTTTGAAATGAAATTGAGGGTTGTTGTTGTATCACTCCTGTGATTCTGGATGTGATTGGTTGCTGAAGCAGAGCGGTTGATAATATAGAAACACGTTGACTTGATTTATAATTGAATAATCAGTTTGATAACCATTTGGTTATCGATATGTAAAGATTACATTTTACTGATTAACTGAACACTAAGCCTGACTAAGTCAGACTGCAAGTCTGAACAAGTCTGACTCCTGACTTGACACTCTTACTGACTCCCGATCTAAATCTTAACTTCTGCTTATATACTAAATAATTGTACAGAAAACGTGATTCCGAAAACCAACAGCAAGGACAAAATAACTTCGTATAACCTTCAAATAGCACGTAGTGCTTCAATAAAAACAATAACTAATAAATAATATTTATGATTACAGAATAGTACACTACTTAATCCTCAAATGATGGTTTAATTCCATATATTCAAATCAATGTACAAATATAGGAATAATTAGTTTTGTGAAGCAATTCCTCATATATGCAGTAATTAAATAATTTAAAAATAAAATCTAAAATTGAAGTTAGAAGTATCAAAAACAAAATTATATAAAAATTTAAATCCAATGCCAACCCAATCATATTACGCGAATTGAAGAATGGTTTCATACAGTATACCAAACTCAAATTACATATTGCAACAAAAATATATTACATGATTTTCATAACATAATAATTAATAAATCAATAGACGATAATTAAAAGCATATTTACAAAAAGTAACTTCAAACAAAAAATAATAAGAAAATATTTTATACGGTTCTCAAATAAATGCTTCAAAAGTAATTTTAAAAAACATAAATAGTTATGAAGTTGAAATGTGTAATATATGAAGAATATAGGAAATAAAAAATTCTTTCTCTTTTTTTCTTTCTTTCAAAAAATGTTTTAAAAACGAATTTTAACAAGTTACCTAAAATAACCTTCGTCTGATTATAATTATAATATAAAAGGTGCTGCATGAATAAAGACTGATTTTTTATATATAGAATAGGGCGAAGCAAAAATGTATATTTGACTTTGAGTAATATTTTTTCTAAAATTTCTATTTTTAAAAAAATTGTCACCTGGTCCTGTTTTACGCCATAGGCGGGATAAACTTGGGCAACTAGGTAGTAAACAGGTCTGAATGTCTTATTTTTAATTTCAACGGTATTTTACGCAATTAAGCTATGTTTAATAAAATGACCATTCGGTTTGAATGGCCAAAAAAAGTATTTGTTAAGATAGGTTCAAAGTGTTTAAGAAGTTCGTGATCTATCTGGATGCTGCCGAACTCTATTGAACACTTGCACTTTGTCGAAGGACCAGATATATTTAGTTGTTGGCTATATCAGACCGTTTGAATAATAAAAATAAAATATGATGAATATCTGTTTAATTATTGTGTATTTGTAATATTAAGACTTATAGATGATATGTTATTGAATGTTCATTTACGACTGATCTTAGCTATGTGAAATTTAAGTTGATACTAAATTATATAGATTTTATAATTTTATATATTTTTCTGATTGGCCCATTTTGTGGAATTAAGGACACCCCATTACAATTTTGGAACCAATCAGTGGTTATTACATTTATCAACCGATCAGGTATTGGTTGATAAATTGCATGATACGGAGAATTTAAACTGGATACAGGTAGTGCGAATTTCTTGGAAATATAAGGATGATAGGATGATACAGTTAGGGACAGGTGATAAAAATTCTAGGAAAAATGGATTACTGATATGATTACCGATTTTGGGACAGGATGCGTAACAATGAAAGGGATGACGGTTTATTATCGCCATCCTGCATGGAGATAATAAAATATAATAATTATACCAGGGTTGGGAATGACGCGTTAACATGTCCCCGGACTTAAAAAATTATGAGGAATTAATTATGAATATTTTTTAACGTTGCTTAATCATAGTTTTATGCCATTGCTTATAATAATGTTAATGTTTTGAAAGTTTATAGATAGCACATGACATATGATGATAATATTGATAATAGATTGATTAATGATAATGATAATGATTATGAATATAATGTTAGATTATTCACGGACACTTTACTAGAGTCTTTAAAATTGTCCAAATGTTCAAAATGATTGTTGATTATTTACACTTCACAACACTTTGTTTGTTTTATTGTTTCAAATTATTTATCGTCAATTGGTAAGACACATATTCTTGATACTGCACGTTTCACTAAATTATTGTTTGTTTTCTGATATTGGTTATTTTCACTGTTTACACACTTCACTATAGTTTTGTTTAATTTTATTTTTACCACTTGAATGATGCCGTCGTCAATGGGATGTAAATGTGTAGTTTTCCATAATCGTAGTGGTTTTATCGAGTTTTAAAGTTTTAAAGTTTTATCGAGTAGTAGAACCATACTACCGACCTTCGCTAAGTTTGATAGATTTTTGTGCCAATTGTTGCACAACCGCTTCCGAAGATGTTGCCTTAGTCTCTGATGAAGTTGATAGCTGATTTGATAGTTGATATCAGAGATTTCAAGCACGCAAGGATTTAGAATTGATGTTGGTGGTTTGTCAATTAGGAGATGATAGAGGTTTGAAGGATTGTAATTATTTGGATTGGAGCTATGTAAAGATAATGACATAATTTAATATTGTTTCAATCTGTGCTAATAATTTGCGAGATTTACTGGAGCATGCGATAAATTGTTTCAAAGCTGTCAAAAAAAAAAACATTCCGCGGTCAAATCAGATACTAGTTCAACGTGATAACTTCAAAACACACAAACCAACATTATATGCCTTATACCTTTTGTAGACAATGCTTCGGCGATCTTTTAGAATTATAGAATTGAATATTTGCGCCGTTGCGGCCAAGATTGATTTTTTGAATTATAGTTATATTTTTAGTATTAAATTCAAAGCAATCAGATATTGAATTCAATGCCCTGGCTAATGTTTTAATTGTTTTACCGCCGATAATAAGGCAAGAACTCTGATTGTTCAAAAAGAATAGATTGATAGATAAAGAAAGATAGATTGATAGTTAGAATTGAATTTATTTCATATTTTTTATATTTTGCTTGATTTAGGTTAGATATTGAATTTTGTTTATTTGAATTTGATTCTTCAGTCATATGGCTATAATTGATAAGTCATTGACATAACCCCAGTAGAAATACATCTGAGCTGGAGATGTTTTTAATGCAAGCTAAATATTTACGCGTGTAGCTGTGTTGAGCCCACGTTCACAACGTACGATTAATGGGAGCGGTATATGAGACGGCAAATATTAGATTTACAAGAATTTTCCATATTGCTAAATGTGGAATGAATATGAGCGATATATGATATGTTTTACATATGATTTTTCCATATTGCTGAATGTGAGCGATATATGAAACGCTGAATATGAGTTTTACATGGTTAATTCATATTGCTAAATGTAAGCTGTGTATGAGATTACTAAATATTGTAAGATTTAGAATATAGAATTATTCACATACAAATCATTTAAGATTTTGCTAATAAAGAACGAATGTGGAATATGTTTTTTTGTATTGCTCTCTCTCTCTCTCTCTCTCTCTCTCTATATATATATATATATATATATATATATATATATATATATATATATATATATAAAGTTATGTTCAAATGCAATCTTATAAAATATGTTTTGCCATTGATAAAAATTAAAACAGTAACAATATAATACAAATATTATTATTAAATACAATATTAGCTGCAGTTATATTTAAATTAT